AGGCAGTGTGGAAGTTCCTCAGAAAATTAAGAATAGAATTACCATATGACCCGGCAATCCCTCTCCTGGGTATCTACCCAAAAATCTGAAAACATTTATCCGTAAAGATATATGTGTTCCAGTGTTCACTGCAGCTTTATTTATGGTGGCTAAGACATGGAAACAACCAAAGTGTTCTTCAATAGATGATTGGATAAAGAAGATGTGGTATATATACACAATGGAATACTATTCTGCCATAAGAAAAGATGAAATAGTGCCATTTACGACAACATGGAATGGACTTGAGATTATTATGCTAAGTGAATAAGTCAGACAGAAAAAGTCGAGAACCATATGATTTCACTGATATGTGGAATATAAAACTGAAAGCAGCAATGGAACAAGACAAACAAATAAACAAAAACTCATAGACACATACAGTTCATTGGTTACCAGAGGGTAAGGGGGGAAGGAGATGGTAGATGAGGGTAAAAGGGATCAAATGTATGGTGATGAAAGGGGAATTGACTCTGGGTGGTGAACACACAATGTGATATATAGATGATGTATTACAGAATTGTACACCTGAAACCTATGTAACTTTACTAACCACTGTCACCCCAATAAACTTTAATTAAAAAAAAAGAAAAGTAATAGATGCCTTGGTAATGGCATTAGAGAGGCTCCAAACCACAGACTGGGTTCAGAACACACCACCCCAAAATATGGCATCTCGGCATTTAAGCTGAAGGGGTTTGAGGAAATGGCTGAAGCAGGAAGATCACTCTGACCTCGTCCTTCCCTTGCCCTTCTTCTCTGAAACAGGTCCTGAAACCCTCATGTAAGAGGTGCCACAGGGAGTACAGCTGGAGGAAAGGAGCATCTTTATCTCTGATACCAAAGCGACGCCAAGAGGAATGCCCAGTTTCCCCCAGGTTACTCCACTTAGCTGATGCTCCTTAAGCGACCCTGGTCCTCCATGACTGTGCACTCATCTAACTAGCACAAAACACTCGGGTCTAACAGTTTCTTTAGGTCTTTATTTCCTTGTGAAGGCTCTCGTGTCACATAAAACTTATATTAAATAAATGTGTATGCTTTTCTCCTTTTAATCTGTCTTGGTCAGTTTAATTTTCAGACCCAGCCCAGGACCTTAAGAGGGTTGAGGAAAACTTTTTCCTCTCCACACCACAAACAAAAGCCGGGAAGCCATTTCTGGCCCAGCAACCCCAGCGGCAGCGGCTGCTCCTCAGTGTAGGTGCCACCCCTTTGAATGGTGGCTGTAGCAAAAAGGATTCTGTTGGTGCTTGAAACTTCTGAAATGCTGTTTCACGGCTTCTAGAACCATGTGTTGTCTCATTATGAAAAGCCACTGTCTTCAAATCCATGCCATATACAACCACTGGATTTGGGTCAGACTGTGTCAACAATATGCCCCTTGACAGCACATGGAGTTGGGTTACCCCAGGGAGAAACGCCTATCTCAAAGATGCAAACTTCACCTTGGTGAGGAACCAGATGATGCTGGAGAAATTCAGAAGACGATAAAAGTCTGGGCCCAAAACTATCTGCCGGCCTCAGGTGCAGTTAATTCTCGTAATGCAGATTTTGCAAGTGTAACCAGGTTTGTGCAAAGTACTGACTAGGCTCTTGAACACAGTCAGAGATACCAGAGCGCAGGAATAACACGAGAACGCACACCTGTTGGGATCGATGGGCCCATTATTTCTTAAAGTCAAATTTTTAAAAGATGTTATTTCAGGCAACAGATTCCCCAGACTTTTCCAGTGGTGGGAAAGGTAAGCTAATCTAGGTTTCACAACCGAGAGACATTGAGGTCTTGGAGTATGGAGTTGGACAGTTAGAGCTTGTGGGGAGCAACCATCCCTCCCCTCTCCCGTTCACATGGGGGAGGAGGAAGGCTTGACGTGAGCACTTCACTCTCCCCTTTCTACAAGACTGAGGGTACCATATATCCTGTTTTCGCTAAGGTGGGAAATATTATCTTTCTTCTGACATTTGGACCTGCTAGCACCTCATCTTCCTGAGACAAGGAGAAAGAAACATGACAAAAAGAAGTGAGAGATGGGCCGGCCGAGTGGCACGTTGGTTAAGAGTTGGCTTGGGACGCCAGATCTGAGCAGCAGGGCCCCGGTTCAGATCCCACATGAGGGTCAGTGATGCTGCGCCCTCTACAGCTAAGATGGTGAACAACAGCTCAACCTGGAGCTGGGCTGCTGTGAGTCACTGGCAACGGCGTAGGCTGCAGCCCCTGCTGCAGTGAGCTGCCATAAGCTACCATGAGTGACTGGCAGTTGGCGTGAGCGGCCGTCCAGTGGCCAGCAAGCGACTGCCTCACCTGGGAAGAGCACAATAATACCAACATGGGCCAATGAAGCGACGTCCTCCACAACTAGACTGAAGAACAAAAGGACAGCAACTTGTCTGTTCCCCTCCCCCAATTCCCAATAAAATCTTTAAAAAAGAAAAAAGAAGTGAGAGAGAGGAAGTGCCTGGTGGATAACTTATATGCCCATCACTTAGTTAAAAAATATGTGAATTTCCTGTAAGTTGAACTAACACCATGGAAAGTAAAACTGAGGCAGATTTGATAATACATCCCTCCTAATACACACACCCATGAGTGGAGTGGGTAAGTCCAGTTTCCTTCCACAAGCAAACTCTTATGTCCTCGCCATCGCAGATGGCGGGGATCGAGAAGTAAAAGGCTGTGGACTATACTGCCTTGGGAGTTAAGCAAGTGGAGACCGACAGAGGTAAGAATTTCCCAAGACAGGGGGCTATGGTAGGGAGCCCCTAGAGAGCACTCATGGGACAATAACTGTGACCAAATGTGTCAGAGAAGAGCCAGCATGTGGACACCTGTCTCATGGTTGGAACCACCAGAAACATCAATACAACAGAAAGCAAAATGTAAGGAAACTTTGGTTGTCTATTTTCTCTTTCTGGGTGTTGCCAGATCACGCTTTTAGCTGCCACATCATAATGGTGCTAGGTCATATGTATGGGCATAGTTTCCACTCTTCTCCCAAGTTTTATTCACCATTAATTATGATAAAGCTGGTGTTGCTGTCAACATTTCATACATAAAAAGTATGGTTGGAAGATGGAAAAAAAAAACCCAAAAAAGGAAATGTGGAACTGAAAGAAAATAGATGGAAAAGGGCCATAAAAATCCAATCCTTTAGAGAAACAGTAAGAACTAAATTCATTTGATAGAAAAATATATATATATATATATATATATATATATATATATTTTTTAGACTTCCATTGGGGAATTGGGGGATGGGAACAGCGCTGGGGAACCAGGGGAAGGGGAACAGACAAGCTGCTGTCCCCCCCGTTCTTCAGTCTAGTTGTGGAGGACGTTGCTTCACTGGCCCAAGTTGGCACAATCATTGCGCTCTTCCCAGGTGAGCTGTTGTTCAGCATCTTAGCTGTAGAGGGCAGTGTCACTGGCCCTCATATGTGGGATCCGAACCGGGGCCCTCTGGCGTCCCAATCTTAACCAACATGCCACTCAGTCGGCCCTTGATAGAAATATATTTTAAAAGGGGTCTAGATATCCAAATACCAAAAGAAATGGAGGCCAAGGGGAAAAGGTGGTCAGGACCTGTTGTTTTGAAGAGAGGAGACCAAGAAGTAGTAAATCCTCTATTTGAGAAAGGCAGAGAACCTGGGCTTTGGTCAGAAATTCAGCCTAAAAGAGACTTTTCCACTTTTCAGTGGCCCTGTTAGAAACATCACTAATGACAAAGATCTAGCCCCTCTGCAATTGTCTAGTTCACCTGGCCCTTGGGCCATCAAACAGGCTGGTCTACGATAGACCAGAGACAAAAGCCAGAAAAGGGCGGTTGTTGGCCCAGAAGAAAGCTGCTGGCCGATGGGATTCTAACTAACCTTCAAGTAGGTGTTAATACTGCCAGTGGGGAACAAGAATATTCAGCAGATGGTGACTGCATGTGACAGGTGTCCCAGCACTCTTGCTCATCTCGTCCATAAAATTAGAGTTCCCGACTACAACGACAAGGGAAAAGTCAGACGGGGTCATCTAGTCCTTAGGAATACCTGCACCGGCCTCACCTTCCCACAGCTTAACTGGAAAGACAGTGGCACATGGGCTGAGCTGACAGAGGTCATGAGAACTAACTACAGGGCTAACTGATGAGCTCTGACATCACTGGGAGGCAAACTGGAAAAGAAAACGGCTCAAGGGCTAAACTAGTTTAAATATACTCTGTTAACTTCTCTATAAATGAACATAAAAACATCGCCTTAAAACAAAACAAAAAGCTATTGAGGCATTGGACCCAAGGAATGAAAATTAGGATGTCACATCCTATCCACCCCCAAAGGTGGTGAAATAAAATCATACACAAACATTGTTTTTGGAGAATTTGGGACCTCACTAGAAATTAATGTTGGAAATCCACTTTGTTATGTTTTAACCAGGGGTCAGACAGTGGCAGTAAACGTCTCATTCTGTATTACTGATTAGGAGTTAGCCATTTGGACCAGATGACACCTCTGACTCTGTCAGTATCACGAGTCATTCAGAAAAACTTCTGTAGGCATTGTGGATGTGAGGAGATTATTGCTGGTGTTGTAAGAAGCTTTGTACTGTTGGGATAATTTTAGCAGCAAGTGTGTGTTTACATCGAATCTTCAAACCAACTCAAACTGGCTTTAAAAATAAACAAATTTACTATTTCACATAATGAGAAATTGGGAGGCAAGGCCTTTCAAGGACTGGCTACTTTTGGGGTTCAACAAGGCCATTAAGGTGCCCTATTCTTTCTGTCCTCCTGCTGCCATCCTCAGCAGATTGTCTTTGGTCCTCGGGATTATCTCCCTCCTCTAACAACAGGTAGAAATTAGCCCTTGTTTATTACTAGGAATGGTTTAAGTGAACTTCTCCTGTAGCACTGTCCCCAATTCACAAGCAGTTAGTAAGCAACCAGGAGAAAAGAATAGCCTCAGACATGAGGTATAAACAGTTCCTTTATTATAAATAATCAAAGTTGATAAAACTGGAAAAATAAACATGGCTACTCAAAGTAACCAAAATAACACAATAGCCAATAGTTAAACTCACTCTTCAAATGTTAGCACTACATGTATAGATCCTTCAAACCTGCTGACTTTTTATTGTTTTTTCCCTAAAAATATATTACATTAATCACAATTTGTTTAAATTATTCTATTACACTTGTAACAATTATCTTTTAAATATTTAAATACCATTAGAATACGACTTTGATCATTTCAGGAAATTTCCATTTCAACTCAATGAAAAATATCCATATATTTACATGTTTTACTCTTTTCAGAGTTGGTCACCTCCAGACCTCTTGGAATATTTCACCCTTTTCTACGAAAGTGTATGCGACTCATGAGTTCTTTGAACTTCAGTATTAAGTAGTGGTCTTTCCATGCTTCATAAGTACTTCTAAATTTGTCATAACTTTTTTTCAGGTTGAGATCTGATCCAGTTTTTTTAAAATAACTGTCTTTTTTCCACATTTCTCTCCAAGAGTCTTTGAATTTTTCCAAATAACTTTCTTTTTCAGATTCTTCCTTCCATATTCCTTCTCCTTTTTTTAAGGCTGTTAATTCAGCTTTAAGTAAGTTTCTGTGAATTTTCCAATAGATTTTAGAATCATAATTTAACCCTTTAACAAGAACAGTTTTGCCAAGGCCTCTTCTCAAAATTTCTTCATTCAGACTCACACTAAAATATCTACCCTTGAATAAAAAAAAACACAAACCAATTATTTAAGAAAATTGCTAGTATACCCATAACATCCATTTACTTTAAAATCAGTCATTCATCAACTTTAGTCCTCCAGGGAAAAGAAAAAATATAAAGCAAAAGGGTCCCCAAGAGCTTAAAATAGCTAATGCTAAATCCAAGAATCTCAATACTGGAAGAGATCCTTGCTCAGTCAATTGCCTCTTTTATAACAAACACAGAGTTCTCCACTAGCTGATAAGTCTCCTAACCCAAAGAGGCAAAGAAGCGGTAAAGTATACATAAAGGGTTTTTTGGGTTGTTTGTTGTTGTTTGGAGGGGGAATGGAGCACACATGATAGCAAAACGACAGGAGGCCACAGCAAAAGAAATGAAAAAGTAGACAAATGCAAAATGAACTGAATCATCACTGAACTGTTAAATTAGTTGAGAATTCTAGTGTCTAGGAAGGCACTGGCATGTAAATGAATTTTTAGAAGCCTTTCCACAAAATAATTAACATAAAAATAGGCCTGTCCTTGAACCTTCATCCTTCAGGAAATTTCATTCATAGGATACCTCACTTCCTAATGAAACCCACTAATTTACAGTATAAAGGAGATCCGGCTTAGCTATTTCTACAGTCCTTGTGGGGTTTTAACCTAACAAGATTAATTTTAACCAAGTATTAGTAATTTCATAGCTTCATTAGACAAGTAATTTACAGTTAAATATTAATTTTAACCAAGTATTAGTAAATTCATAGCTTCATTAGACAAATCATTTATAGTTAAATTCTAAAAATGTGAAGACTCCAGGTTTACAGTAGGAGATATTTTCTAGGACTATCTAAAGAAACAAAGTAAACTTTTGCTATTTTAAATGCAGTTAACTTTTGGTATATGATGCTAAGGCGTTAATACAGTTTTAAAGGTTTATCATATTCTTCTCAATCTTTTAAATTTTAAGAGCTCATTTCCTTACACCAAAATCAGAAAAATTAAAATTCAACCTCACACATTAGTAAAGTTCAAGAAGTAAATTACCATGATATACATGTATACTTTGGTCACCTCATAGGAAGCAATAGAAGGTAAAATATATAAAGTGAAATGAGGGCTCAGGAGCCAGGAAGAGCTGAGCTGGGTGTGCAATACAGGCTCTTCCACTCGGTCACCCTGAGTTCCACCTGTGAACGGGAATAAAAACAGTGATTCCACAAGGTGGTTTTGAAGATAGATAAAATATGCCCCTCAACTGGAAAGAGAAGATAATATGATTGTAAGGCCTTTGGCATCTTTTAATTTTGTATTATCAACTTACTTTTAAATATAAGATGCTTCAAGCATTCAGTGTCGGATAATTCTTATTTTGAAAGAATTGAATATGATCTGAACATACAACGATTTATAGATTTCATGAGGTTTTCTATTAATAAATCAAAAAACTTTTAAGAATTAAAATATTACTATTCTAATCACATTAATTAGAATAAATTAAGTAAAGTAAAAAAAGTAAGGTACTTTTTTCTTCAGATTATTCTTGTTATATAATAAGGGACTTTAAAAAATAAGAACTGCTCTTAACCCTGTCATAATAACATTTCGACTAATTTTTTATGTTCTTTTTTCAGTAATCACCCACCAAAAATGTTGAGTAGGGTATACCCGAGGTCTCAGGACGGTGACACGGCAACACCAGTAACACAGATGAAGCTCTGGGCATCCCAGTTACACAGTGGTTTTGGGCAATCATAGAGGTAAGAAAACTCTGAGGCAATGTTTTCAGATGACTGACTACTGATCAGTGTTCAAAGACTGAGCTATATTAACCTTCAGAAAATACCCTTGCTCTTGTAGTTTCCAGTTGACAAGCATCACTCAACAAGTTGTTTCTGATAAGTATGATATCATATACTCATGCCTAAATAAATGTATAAAGATTCTCCTTAAATTAGCAATGTCCAGAGTCTTTAATAATTTTGTTTCCTTTTGATTAATTTCTATTTTTCTACCATAAACATATATAAAATTTTATAACAAAATTTATATATATAAAACACCTGGTTCTCTATACATAATCACTGTAAGGAGCAGTTTAAAAAGACAAAAAATATTCAGTCCCATTATATACTGAAGGTTCTAATGAAAGACATGTTTATGTATAAATAAGAAGAATAAACTTTTGCTCATTATTTCTTCACACTACTTACCTTATTCACTAAAAGATAGCAAAAGAGTGTTGAATTCTCCTTTCCGAGAAGTTGGAACCATAAAAGTTGGGAAGGTTTTAGTTCATTTTGTAACCACATCTTCCCAGTTTCGGTGAGTTCTACTCCAGCCAGCTTCACCAGCAAAACACCACAAGGCTCTTCTAAAAAGGTTAGGTGGAAAAGTTTAGCTTTAACACCATGTTGCAAAAGCAAATTCCAAAAACCAACAGATTATATTATGTTCATTTATAAATACCCAGACTCTCTAAGTGTAGGTCCATCTATTTCTATATTCAAGTTTTCTTTTAAAACAAGTATATAACAGATGGAATAATATCAAAATTCCATTTCAGTAACCTCCACAACAGGATATGGGGTTTAAATAATTTACCTTTTTTTTAACCTTTCAGATTTATTTCTACAAATTTACACACACACACACACACACACACACACACACACACACAAAGCTATAGATAGATATTTTAGTAATATGAGCTCTTACTACCAATAACACTGTATAAACTGCTTGTCCACTTAACATAACAGGTGCTCAGTATTTGTGGAATGAATGCTTGAATGGCTGAATGAGATAATGAGTGGGTGAAAAAAAAAAAAGGAGGTAAGGAAGAAAAGAAATCTGAAGCTAAATTAAACAGTTCCTTGTACATAAGGCCAAGAGTTTGGAGTTATTAAAATTAAAAAGACATTTTATTTGCTATTTTAAAAATAACGTCTAATAAAGGGACACTAAAATAGTTAATCTTATTATTCTTGCACCTTACTTACTTCTCCATGAAGATATAATAGGTAGAGTAATTGGAATATGTTCAATTTCCAAACCATTCTCGGTTATTCGGCGTAATCGTCCACGTAATTTAACATTCCTTCTTATAAACTCTACTGGAATATCTGAAGAACTTGTAAATTTTGATGTCTGATTTACAAGGAGAAAAATACATTTCATTATTATTTTCACTTTAAATTAAGTATGTTCAAGTATTTAAACATTTAACAAAACATAAACCATTGAAAGATTATTTGGGTTTTAATTTTATGTTAATATTTTAATATGATTTAATTAAAAGTGTTTCTAGGACTGTTATTTAGAAATCTTTGTTACTATTATACTATTTCAAGCTACTATATAGAGAACTAAAGAAACTCCTAACTTCTAAAAAGTTTACAACCTCAAAATATGATGCAATTCATCAAAAAGCAGTGAGTACTTGGCACCACACAAGTCTGGTGAAACAGTCACTATCCTGTTCTATAGATGTACAATCTATTCATGCAGGTACTGTTTGGCGAACCTAAACAAAGCTGAGTCAAATTAAATTAGAACTCTTAATCAACAAGATTTTTTTTCTTATTTTTTATCTCATAGGAGCAAAAGCTCCCCCCCCCGCCCCTAAAAGGCCAATATTAGGAATTTAATTAAATACCTAATACCTAATGCCCTGAAGTTAGTCAACATTTTATACCTATGTCTTCCATATTAAGAGTACTATAGGGATGAGCTTCACTCATTATCAAGGCTAGGTAAGAGCTTCACATATGCAGAAGGATAAATTAGCACCCATCTTCCTAAGACAGTAAAGTTGAACTAAACATCACACAAAAAACATTCCAAAGAAGAAAAATACTGTAGCAGACAAATCCAAAACGTGGAACATTCAATGGGATAAATGACTTGGTTGCTCTAACAAATCAATGGCTTGGGGGAAAATGTAGGGGAAAGGGGTGGATTGTTATAAAACGAATGAGACAAGAATATAATAAACAAATATATCTGGACCATTTGAATCCTGCTGAATAGATTAGCAATTTAAAAAAGACATCATTAGGACCGGCTGAGTGGCTCAGTCAGTTAAGAGCTCGCTCAAGAGTTTGAGCTCTGAGCATCAGTGGTTAGATTCCCAGCCCGAGCTGAGCAGCCACTGAGCTGCCAACAGACAGGTAGGATGGCTCAGCTTAAAAAAAAAAAAAGACATCATTGAGGCAATCAAGGAAATTTTAATATGGAGTGGGATTAGATGATAATAAGGGATTATTACTTATTTTTTATAATGTGATAGGACAAACTGACATTATAAGCCTCTTGATACAATACTATAAGAAGTATACACCACAACCTTGTTTATGCTAAATCTAATGAGGAAACATACAAATCCAAATTGTGGGACATTCTATAAGACAACTGGCTTGGACTCTTCAAAAATGGCATCATGAGAGACAAAAATTTTAAATACAGGTAAGGTGGGGTAATATTCTAGATTAAAGAAGACTAAAGAAACATGACAGCTAAATACAATGCATGATCCTTGTGGAATTTTTGACTGGGAAAAAAAACAGTTCATATTCAGATTTATGTTCTCAAAATAGCTTTTTGAGTACGTAATTCTGAATATGAACTGTATTTTAGATAATATTACTGCAAAAAATGTTAAATTTATTTGATGGGATATTAATGTGGTTATGTAGGAAAATATTCTTGTTCTTAGGGAGTACATTATGATTTATGTGGCAAGTTTCATGTTTGCTACTTGCTTTCAAATCGTTTCACAGAAGGAGAAAGAGAAAGTACAACTGTGGCAAAAAATAAACAACTGGTGCATAGAGATACAATGAGGTGTTACAAAATTTTTCTGAATTTTTAAGAAACGTAGAGGGAAAAGGATTCTGGATCTATATTGTCAGCATTCATTCAAGAATGTGAAATATGTGAAATGTAAATAAAAGAGAGGAGAAATCCTAAATCAAACGATGAAGAGTTCAAGTGAGTCACCTGACAAAAGTTGTTTATGGAAAGTATGTGGGAAAACCAGAGAAATATGGGCTAATGTCCACAGAGATGGCTCCCAGTGTGGTTTTGTGCCCTAAGTGGCACTGATGAATTAGTGTCAATGGGAGGGAGTGCTCTAGAAATAAGTCAGAGTCTGACCTGGATCCTCTCCAGTTTAATCTGATCACCACTGACTTGAATGAGATGAAACATCACCATGGCCTGAAGCTTGGAAGGGTATGAATACTAAAAGTCAGTTAGTATTTAAAAAGATCTTGGCAGGGGCCAGCTGAGTGGCGCGTTGGTTAAGAGCTGGATTGGGATGCCAGAGGGCCCCAGTTCGGATCCCACATATGAGGGCCAGTGACACTGCCCTCTACAGCTAAGATGCTGAACAACAGCTCAACCTGGAGCTGGGCTGCCATGAGTCGCTGGCGACGGCGTAGGCTGCAGCCCCTGTGGCAGTGGGTTGCCATGGGCTACTGTGTGTAGCCAGCAGCCAGCGTGAGCGGCCAACAGCCACAGTGAGCGGCCGTCCAGAAGCCGGTGACTGATCTGCCTCGCCCGGGAAGAGCGCAATGATGGTGTCAACTTGAGCCAGTGAAGCAACATCCTCCACAACTAGACTGAAGAACAAAATGACAGCAACTTGTCTGTTCCCCTTTCCCCGATTCCCCAATAAAAAAATCTTTTAAATAAATAAATAAAATAAATAGGAAAAATTAACTGTCTACTGCTTATCATATTGCGTTGTTTACTTTTAAACTTACCAGTCGAACACTTCTTATAAGCAAGGTTATTCCAGCTATGGCCATTACGGTGCTGATGCTCTTAAGAAAGAGATTTAATGATTAATTCTCACTAATTATTATTCATAATAGTGAAAGTACTAATTAGAAGGGGAAAAAAGAAGACTAGCCTTCCTATATCCAACTGTCCCAATAAGGCACATTCTTCAACTAAATATACCCACTTCTTACAAAAAACTTTAACTGCCCACCTACCCATTAATCTTCCCTCTTTTTCTCCCAATCTGGCATGCACAGTAATTATCCACATAGTAATTTATTGTTTTCTACTTATTACATTACTTTAACCATGAGTTTCTTGGATGCATGAATCAGTCTAATACTTTTTATATAATGCCCACAGTAAACTCACATAACCCTGAGTCTACATTGGGAATTTAATTATTTGGTAGAAAACTTGATCACCTAAACCTTAAAATATAGTACCTTGGGAAATATATGTGGGTAAACAGTTGGGAAAAACTTGGCAATGTTTTTATAGTGCTTCATTTAAACTGCAATAGACCTAAAAGAGTTTAATTAAAAAACCCTGCAACTCCCTCACCCAGAGTGATAATCTGACATGCTTTCCTTTAATAAATACAACTACATATATAAGAAATGAAGTTGAAAACATACACAAGGGTACATTTTGTGATGGGTTACTTGGCATAATATATCCATGTGCTAACTTAAACATGATTTCCTCTCCCAATCCTGCTGAAGTCATTTTTCAATTTGAAATACCCACGCATCTCTTGTGCGCACGTGGAAGAACGTAGGCCTTGTCAATGAATACGTATGTATCTACCATTTATGCATGCTGTAAATATTTATCTAGCACTGACCACGTGGTAGGCACCACTTTAAGGGCTGGAGGCGCACTAGGGAGTGAAAACAACGTCCTGGCGTTGTGTTGCTTGGATGGAGAGTATGGGCAAGGCTGATGATCCTACTCAACTTCCCAGCAGAATTCAACAAAGTTAATCATTCTGAAAGAATTATCTCCACTTGGCTTCTAGGACACCTGGTTTCCCTCCTCCTCCCTTACTGTTCCTTCTTCATCTTTGCTGACATCCTCCTTTTCACTCCCCAAATTCTAGATGTTAGAGAGTCCCCCAGGTCTCGGCTCGAAAGTAGGACTTCTTCAGTAGCTTTTCTGTCATCCAAGCTTTAAAATCTACTTAAGGTTTACGCAGCTCACTCCCACAGGTGTATGCCCAGTTCTGATGCCCCATCAACACGAGACTTCTATATTCAGTTGCCAGAACATCTGTAGCTACGTGTAGAAGTCTAATGACCATCTTCGAGTTCACACATCTCCATTTAGAAGTCTAATAGGCATGTTCAAGTTCACACGTCCAAAAAGGTCTCTAGATCAGCGGTTCTCAATCTGTGGGTGGTGACCCCTTTGGGGGTCAAATGACCCTTTCACCGGGGTCGCCTAAGACCATCGGAAAACACATATTCTCGATGGTCTTAGGAACCGAGACACCGCTCCTCTATCCGTCTCCATGCTTCAAGACAAACTTTCATTTATTTGTAATTAGAAATAAATATTTCACAATATATAATTACATATTGTTTTTGTGATGAATCACTGTGCCTTAACTATGTTCAATTTGTAACACTGAAAATACATCCTGCATATCAGATATTTACATGATGATTCATAACAGTAGCAAAATTACAGTTATAGAGTAGCCACGAAAATAATTTTATGGTTGGGGGTCACCACAACATGAGGAACTGTATTAAGGGGTCGTGGCATTAGGAAGGTTGAGAACCGCTGCTCTAGATTTTCCCAGCACATCCTTTACTCCAACTCCTCCGCCATCCGCCCATCCCGCAGCCCCCTTGATTCCTCTTTCTTTGTACCCCACACCCTAACCGTCCACACCACCACCGGGGGTTTGAGCCACAGTCCTCTCTTTCCCGGTCACCTAAGATGTTCCTCCCTTGATTGAACTCCAGTGGCCTCTTCACAGGGCCCACGTGCCGGCCCTCCCCAGCTGTCTGACGGGTCCGCCCGGGCTGCTTCTCGCTCCCAGGAGCCCAGGGCCCGGCACAGGCCGCCCCGCCGGCTGCGCGCCCCTCCCCGCCT